CCCCCACCCCGTTGTGTAGTACGTCGGGCTTGAGGTTGAAAGCCAATCTGTATATGTTATGAGTCTGAGCACCAGGCGATGTGTTACAGTAGAGGGAACCGTGCCTTTAATCACATCCAAGCACGACTGCGCAGTCATTTCTAGATCAGGAGTAACAAAGAGTTTACTAACGTACTGCTGCAGACTATGCATGGTGTCTGTCCACTTGCTGTGCTTGAGCTTGTCAAGCTTGAGTCTAGCTTTGGCGGCAGCATGTGGATCAGCATATTGTTTGATCAAGAGATCCTCGAGTGTGGCTATTGGTGTAGCCTTCAGCCATTTGTTCAGGTCTATTCTTTTATAGCCTGGCTGTACAGCTTGGACTTCTAAGAAGCCCCTTACGACGGGTTCCACATTGGTCCCTAGGACCGACGACTGAGTGACCGGGGGTGTCCCAAACACATCAAAGTAGGATCGCATAGAGCTGATCCAAGATTCAATGTCGTCCTTTCCATCATACTTAGACGAAATCGGTGCCGCCTTCCTGTCTACGTAGGGAAAGCTGCAGCTAGGACCAGCGATTGATGGGTCCGAATTCGGGGCTGCAACTGTTCCAGAATGACTTGCACTGCCACTTGCCACTGCAGCAGCAACAACAGCAACAGCGGGGTCTGGACCTGCTGCAGATCCGGATAGGCTGTTTACCACACTCAAAGAAGAAGAAGAAGAAGGTATAGTTACAGGGGCAAGAACGGACTGACACACAACACTAAAAGCAGGGTAAGCACGCGGAAGGACACTTTGGGCCGGCTGCACGTTAGCAAACTGTTGCAGCTGGTCACGGTGCTGCTGCGCCATCAGGGCCATATCTTCGTGCAACTTATTGAGTTCGTCAAACACCTTTGCGAGTTGGCCAGTATGGTCATCAACAGCCCAGACGTCTATTAAGGCCCTGAGAAGTGGGACTGTCTTCTCTTCCACCTCATCATCAGTTAAGGCGGGCACGATACTGAAGACGGCTTTATGAGCCTTTTGTCTCCCTTCTCCTTCTCCTTCTCTTCCTCTTTCTTCTTCAATGCTTTTTCATAAAAGAACTGGTACTGCGCTTTTTCTGCCTCAGGGGCAACGTCCATTTGCAGCTTTCATTCTGCTGCAGATCCCATGATGGAGGACGAAGGTGTCAATAAGTCTCTCAAGAGAGGTCCGTACTTCCGCACACTTCTGGGACAAACACTCCTCTTCCCTCTCCTCACCCCCTCAAGAGCAACACTCAGAAGCCTCTCTCTTCTCTCTTTGTCTCTCGTTTGCGATCGTGTAGATGCAAACATTTAACGAACCAAATGAAAGAAACAACTTGAAAGCAATTAGAAGAGAAGGTAGAACTCCTAGCCGGAGCGGCAATTTATTTGGACTGGAGAGAAGTCAAAACAATCAAAAAAATAAAGATCAGAGAGATCTGATTCCGCCACACAGTCTGGTCCGACTACATATGAGGTCCTCTCAAGCCTAGCCGGACTCAGGTCCGTGAAGACACAACAAATCAAATTCAAAGTGTGCTACGTAATGCAAGAGAGAATTGAGTGGTGTCCAAGGTGCGAGTCAGGCGGCGGATCGTGCCGTAAAGTCCGTTAAAACGTCTCAGCTGAGATCCCCTTAGCAGTGAGTGTCCTGGTCCGAAAGCATGAACTCCGAGTCCCAATCAGATAGAGCAAGGTAACTGACGTCAATAGATTTGGGCCTGAGGGGCCCTTCTTGTTTGGGCCTGGTCCCACTGAGTCCCAAATGGTCCCAGTGGAGTCAGAACCGGTTCGCAACCAACAAGAGTTCCACAAAGACCTACTCTCTGTGCCTACCGAATTGAAAAACGAAATTTAGCCCTAGAAAGAACCTACAGACTACAGCCTTTCAGAATGAAATAAACAAAGGACTGTAGAAAGATATAGCATGGCACACAAGATACTCCATTCATTCACTCGTCAGGTAAGTAGGCAGTTCACTCACCTCATACACAATCAAGACTATGGAGGATGGAAGAAAAACCCAGAATACCCCAGCAGGCAGTCAATTCCATGCACACACACATGGGCACCCTGGCGCCACGACACTTACCTGAGTGGCCGGGCTCTTGAGATGAAAAGAAACTCACCCCCATCTCACGTAGTCCTCCTGACCCAATAAGCATCCTCTACACTAGTGTCCTATCATCTAGGAGGGTCAACATCTACCCCAAAGTACAACGTCGGATCCCCCGTCGATGTTGAAGATCAAAGTAGCAACTTGCAGTCCGTAGGTGCAGATATGGCTGCCACCCTCAAGCTCGCCTAACTTGAGGGGAACCCTAAAGTCACTCCTCGTCTTCCTTGAAGTCCAGATTCCAGTTGTAGGTGCCCTTCACTGTCGCCTCTCTCCAATTGCATCACGAAGTCCCACCTTGTGTCTCGCCCCCACAAACATGCACTCTTGCAACCTGGCCGGGTCTAATGTCGACCCTACGCGGCCCTGCCAGGTGGGAGCAGCTTCCCTTTACCACGCTGCCCCACTTAACCCTAACTTCATGCCCTAACCCGAAGTGGTTAGCCCTTACCACTTAGGTTAGGGTTATGGCGGCAAAGTCAACTCTCGCCAGCAAGTAGAATCTGCTCTGATACCAATGTTACGATCCTGGCCAAATTTCGAAGTATACATTCATAAGAAAGTACAATGTCGTCCAATTGCAAGAAGAAATGAATTGAACTTGAGAGGGGAGAGAGGGAAAGAAGAAGAAGAAGAAGAAGAAAGAAAGAAGGAGAAGAAGAAAGAAAGAAGAAGAAGATGATGTACTCCAGCAGAGACCAAAGATAATGCTCTTCTTCTTCGCCAACCAATCTTCTTCTCCTTATCTCCTCCCCTCTTATTCAAACAAGAAATAACAATAATAATGTTGAATGGCTGAACCAGAATCAATGTCCGAATCCCTCTTCTACTGCAGGCACAACATGAGGTCCACCATAGTCATGGCCACCCTTCCTCTTCCTCTTTATGTAGGCCGAGGCTATGGCGGAGTAATGAGGGCTCTACCCTCCTGTCCAAAGGACAACCCAAAGCAGCTATGTCGCTGCCTTCCTGTCTGGAGGTCAACACAAGGCAGCTATGCCGCTGCCCATTCAACCGCCATGCCTGACTCTGTCTCGAGCTTCCTTGATGCGGCACTACCCCAACAGGGGCCTTCCAGATGGAGCGCCTCACAAGGTGATGAAGATGGTGTCCACCATAGCCAGGTAGGTACCTCGCCACTGTCCTCCTTGGTCCTCTTCTCCCTCCTCCTATCGGTAGAGCTCCACCATAGCCAAGGTTGAAGCTCCCGTCTTCTTCCTCCCAGCAGTGCTGTACTAGCTAGCGCTCCAGCAGCGTGTCGCCAAACTTGCACACTGAAGGATGAGGCTCTTCCCTCGGCCGCCTGATATAGCGGCCTACTTGCCTCCTGGGCGGTGACTTCCAGGCCGCTCGGCCTCCCAAGCAACCGGTACCTCCTCCCTTTCAGAGGGAAACATCATTGCAGACTCTGATATTGCCCGTACAGGCCCTAGACTCAGACTGGATGGACTTGCAATGACTTGCTGTTTTCTGGTTACCTGTAGCCTCTCTCTGTCGAGGTTGTACTTTAGGTAGGACAGATTCGTAATTTTGTTTGGCTGAGGGCTAACCGAGAGACCTACCTGTGTGGGAAATTCGTGAGGGACATATCTGCAAATCCGGGAAAATACAGGCCCGGTACTAACAGGTTTCCCTACAGCTACCTAGCTGCGCATAGCAGGCCTGGGCTACCCTAGGACAGACAGGCCCTAAGGGCCTATTCTGATAGACGGTCCTATAGCCTATAACCGGGTCCGGTAGAGGCGGAGAGGCCGAAACAACAACGGTACCGGTCGGTCAGTCAGTCCGGTCTAGGTCGGTGTAGGCTAGAAGTAGGATGGGCACATCGGTTCAGGGCTTTTGGGCAGTTGGTACCGTGGACATCGCTGCTGCGCTACGCGTGAACCGGAAGTGGTGACGACTCAGTGTGGGAGGAGACGGGCATAGCCAGACCTTTGGAGTGCAGGCCATAGTTGGGACCTGCGCTGTACTCTGCCAGCACGTAGGGGCTGACAGAGGTCTGGGTTATCGAGGTCTGCGGGAGGTGAGAGAGATTGGTGCCCTGTTGGACCCTCCTCCGGAGTGGGGTCAGAGCTGCGGCTTCTTCATCTCAGAGGTCATCTTGTCAGGGTTTGGTGGCGCTGCTGCAGACTTCCATCTGGGAAGTCTCCCGACACTTCGTCATCATCAGATACTGTGGCGCTGGTCTTCTTCTTCATCCTCTGAGCGGCGCTTGGCCTCAGAGGCCTGTTTCAGGGTGGCACTGCCCCCAGGAGGCTGTATTTGGGTGGCGCTTGATGATTCAGGGGCTCAGGGGGTGTTACGGGTGTTACTCAGGGTTGGGGAAGGAAGCGCTGCTCATATCTGAGCAGCGCAGTGTATGTGAATGAGTGTTGGCCTTCAGGCAACGAACAACCAGAATCATAACAGTTGGTATCGGAGCAATTGGATCCAGGCTCGGGAGCGATTGATGAGTTGGAGCACCCATCATCATCTGGCGAGATACTGGAGTTGTCTCATGGCGATTCATCATCTTCAGGGTTGTTGTCAGTAAGGGTGGTGGTGGTGAGTGTGTGGCGAGAAGCAACAGGCAGCGGGTGACTCACTCCTGACCGGGGTTGCGCAGGAGTGCTTGTCGATTGACACTCAGAGGCCTGGGAGGCTCTGAGAGGCTAATTATAGCCTGGCGATTCACCTGGAGGTTGGCGATTGAGAAGGAAGTGGTCCCAGGAGGTTGCAATTGTGGAATTGGGTCAGGATCCCCAATTTCCAAGCAGCGCAGTACAGGGTGATGTGGCGCTGCACTGACTTTGTCAGTTATTGACACCTGGGAGTCCGATTTCTTTGAATCTGTCAGTTGGGGGGGAAGCGCCTCAGGGAATTCTACAGGATCACCAAGTTTGATGCAATTTGGTACGTGGGAATGCTGGATACTGTCAGGAGATGAAACTGGCGAGATGGGGTTGACCAGTCAGCCATAGCAAGGGTTTCATGCATCTTCTTCAGAGTTGACCCTGAAGTAAGTGTGTTCCTTACTCCATCCTGTGTGGCGATTCTGGGGCTATTTTTATAATAGTGAAAATTGGTCTGTCTGCCAGGTGACAGTTGAGAATCGAAATTCAGATTGTGGGACAGCCATATCCAACTTCCCCTACCTATCTTCTTTGACCTCTACTGACCCTGTTTGACCATCTTTCTGACTCATATTTCATCTGTGACTGCTTTACAGTATTGCGATTGACACTCTATAGTGAATTGCTGAGTTCAGGGTCCTGTTGTCAGTGATAATGCAAAAAGAATTCTGCGCTGACATAGCCAAAGCTAGGATAGACTAGGGTCAGTCATAACTTTGATTCTGTCCGTCAGAATTCAGTTCTGTCAGTCCCTGGTAAATCGCAATTCAATATTTTAGCATTGTCTGAAATTGCACATCCATAATTGATGTTTTGAGTCAGTTACAGTGAAAACTGTAATTCGCCATACCCAGGGTATGGCATACAGGGTCATACAATGTTGAGGTCTGTAGGGTAAGTCTAAAAATAGGCCATCCTGTAAATCGCTGCATCTTGGTCATCAGTAGAGACCTGTCTAACCCTAATTAGTCACTCTGTCTGATTGCTAATCAATACTAATTAGTCCAAGACTGCATCCTTTCAGTTGTTGAGTCAGGATTTGCAATTATTGCGTGCAGTTGTTGTGTCAGGGTAGGGATGGAAAAATCGTGAAATTGGTTTTTGCCTGAGTGGACTGTGAACTAACCCTGACCCTCAAGCGGTTTGCTGAGACTGAGCACTCACTTGCTCAGACTAACCAATCCTCTCTCTTCAGGCAGGTGACAACAATTGAGTGAGTACTGAAGAGAAAACTCAACTCTTGTTACCTCCTGCTTTGTCTTTGTTTGTGTGTTGTTTTTATTTATCTGCATTGTTGGGTGAGCAAAATGGCGGACTCAGGGAAGGCAACGGTGCCTCAGGGAATTGAAAGTTCTGGGGAGACACCCCAGGTGAAGCTTGAAATGAAAGTGCAGACTGCAACACCTGTGCCGCCTGACCCTTTAGAGGCTGAACTGCGGGCCCAAGAGGAGAAACTCCGCTTGCAGAACTAGGCAGTTGAGAATCTAAAGGCGGAGCTCGAAAAGAAAGAAGAGGCTGCTCAGAAAGAGCCAGGAGAAAGATCTTAATTGCAGACATGCAGAAGATCATGGGCAGCGGTTCTACCAGTCAGGTCAGTAAGGATATGGCTGAATTCATCCTCTTACAGGATGATATTCACCGGTCCTACTTTACTAACTGGGATGACTGGATCTCTAGTCTGAAGACCAGTCATTCAGCTTTGTCCAAAAAGCTGGATGACATTTCTGCCCAGTTGAACAGCATCCTGACACATCTGCAGATTGCACCTGTTCAGACTGTTCCTCCACCTCCTGGCCCTTCTGCAGCAGGCCCCCAACAAACCCCACAATCCAGACCTGCAACTCCCCCCTCTACACCCAGATCAACAGCAGCTTCACAACCCTCGTCACCATTTGAGTTTCAGCGGCCTAAGCTGACACCGCCACCCATGTTCTCAGGTGAGGACCCAAAGGTGGATGTGGCAGACTGGGTTGCTGCACAGAGAACCTACCTGAGTGGGTTCAAATGTGATGAGGATGTGAAGGTGTCACCCATCCTTGCTCGCTTGGAGCGATCAACACTGAAATGGTGCACCTCCACCTCCAACAAGCAAGGTATGGAGATGGCTGACTGGGCGCAAAGGCTGGGGGTGGCTGGATTTCTGCAGGCCCTGCAGGACCAGTTTGCAGACAAGGAGCAGGCTAGGAAGGCAGCAGACAAAATTTTGCGCCTGGGCCAGAAAAAGTTTGATGGCTCCTTGTCGAAACTGTATTTCCCCTTTGAGAGTCTTACATCGACTCCTGGGTTGGAGATGAGTGAGTAGGATCTGCTTATTCATTTCCTAAGGGCAGCGCCTGAGCAATTCCAGCTTGCTCTTTTCGCTCAGGGCCACAAGGACTGGCGGTCCTTTGGCAGAGCAACCCTGGACTTGGAATCCAAACTCCATGTCCAGGAAGCACCTTCTGAAGGAAGGAAGGGACCCTCCTCCAAAGGGCGAAGAAGGAGAAAGGGTGCCCTGTTTGCTGCTGCAGCATCCGGTCAGATAGTGACGCAGCATCCCAGGGTGGGATCCCTCCACCTGGGACTGCATCATCATCTGCTGCAGATTCTGCTGTTCTTGCCCTGGCTGATGCTTTGATGGGCTTGACAAAGGGCAAGGCCCCAACCCAGAAAGCATCAACCAGTAGACAGGGGAAAGGAAAGGGACGTGCCTCCTCCCCTGGTGCCCAGAGAGTACCTTTACCACGTGACATCCGCTGGCCAGCTGATCCGCTTGATCCTTCCACCTTCCCCTTGCATGCACTCAGGATCCAGGAGGGGGTATGGAGGAAGAGGAAGGACAAGGGAGTCTGCCTGAGATGCGAGGGGGACCACTTTCTCAAGGACTGTCCCAGTATGCCTCGCAGGTCTACAGGCGGCTCTAGTTAAAAAAACTAGAGCAGAGAGAGGTGGAAGCAGGAGCTCCTTCCACCAGTGCTGATTCACTTTCTGATGGAGGCGAATCTTCACATTCTCTCGCTGGTTCTTCCCTTTCAGGAGTTGCATCTTCAGGGTCTTTCACTTTTGAAGACTCTGAATTGGATGAGACGTGGGAGGAGGACTATGCTCAGACCATTGCTGATCTTTTCCTGTCTTTACAGGAGAAGAAGAAGCATAAGTCTGAACTCATCCTGCTTCGACCTTACATCCTGGGGGCCAAGATTAAAGGGCTCTTAGACTGTGGGGCTACTCGCAACTTCATCTCTCCCAAGGCAGTCAGCAAGCTGCACTTGGACCAGAGGTTGGTGAAATTGCGACAGCCTTTGGAGGTACGCATTGGAGACTCCTCCACAGTCAGGATTACTACTGCGGTCAAGGGCCTACTTGTGTCCTTTGACAAGCAAGGAGAAGTCAGGCAACGCCTGAACTTCTATGTGTTTCCTAATGTCCCCTTTGACCTTGTTTTCTCCATGCAGTGGCTTGGTGCCACCAATCCTAGGATCGACTGGCAGATCCCTAGGGTTGAGCTGCCTGACCGGCATGGGGTATATCGCCCTTGTATGCTCGCTGACGAGTACCATCCGGCCAGCAGTTGTTATTGCATGAGTGCTCGCAAGTTTTTGCGATTCTCAAGCCAGACAGACCACGCCCGTCTGTTCGTGGCTTATGTCAAACAGACTGACGTGGAGACTGCTCCATGTCCCTCTCAGATTCAGCAGGTTGTAGACAGTTTCTCAGATCTTATGGAGGAGCCTACTAGACTTGTCCATAGGCAGGCCAAACATAAGATTGAGATCGTGCCTGGCTCGGTCCCTCCCAAGGGCCGGGTCTACAGGATGTCTCCTGCTGAACTTGAAGAGCTCAGGAAACAGTTAGAGACCCTGACCAGCAAGGGCTGGATCAGACCCAGCACATCTGAGTTTGGGGCACCAGTCCTCTTTGTTCCAAAGGGGAATGGTGAGTTCAGGATGTGCGTGGATTATTGAGGTCTCAACAAGATCACGAGGAAGTCTACAGAGCCTCTTCCTCGTATTGATGACCTGTTGGATATGGTGCGGGGCTGTACCATTTTCAGCAAGATCGATCTCAAATCTGGCTACCACCAGATTGAGATGGCGGAAGGCGATGTCCACAAGACAACCTTCAAAACCAGGTATGGCACTTATGAGTACCTGGTTATGCCATTCGGTCTTTGCAATGCGCCAGGCACCTTCAAACAGAGATGCACCGGATACTGAGGCCTTACCTAGACAAGTTCGTAGTTGTCTACCTTGATGACATCTTGGAATCAGTCGTTCAGTCCAGGAGCATGCGCAGCATCTGGCTCTGGTCCTCCAGGCCTTACGTGCTAGTCAATATAAGATTAACATGAAGAAGTCCTCTTTTGGGGTTTCCTCTGTAGTCTATCTGGGGCACGTGATTTCTGGAGAGGGGTTGGCTCCTGAAGCAACGAAAGTTGCTGCTGTTCAGGACTGGCCGCGACCTGCTAACATTCGTGATGTCCGGTCTTTCTTGGGGCTTGCATCCTACTACAGGAAGTTCATCAAGAACTTCTCTGCGATTGCAGCACCTTTGACTGATCTCACAAAGAAAGACACTTCCTTTCTTTGGACCTCAGAATGTCAGGAGGCCTTCACACGTCTCAAGGAGGCCTTGATTCGTGCCCTTGTTCTGAAGCTACCTGACCCTACCCTGCCTTTTGTGCTCACTACTGATGCTAGTCAGTATGGGGTAGGGGCGGTACTTCAGCAGGATGATGGGAATGGTCTGCAACCTATAGAGTACATGAGCAAGAAGATCAAGACCAAAAAGCTGCAGGACTCTACCTATGAGAAAGAGCTTTATGCTCTTGTGTCAACGGTCAAGCATTGGAAACACTTTCTCCTGGGCAGACACTTCAAGATCTTTTCAGATCACTCCACCCTTCAGTGGATGAAGTCCCAGGGAGAGCCGAATGACAAGCTTGCTCGCTACATTCAGTTCATTGACATGTTTGACTTTGAACTGAGACACAAGAAGGGCTGCTACAATAGAGTAGCAGATGCCCTTTCTCGTAGGCCTGACGCTCTGTTCTTGATCTCCTTTACTCACTCATTTGGAGAGAGGACACGTCAGACCATTGCCCAGTTGCTGCCCCAGGATGAGATCTTTGGGCCTATTGTGCGGAATCTCCAGGATGATCCTGCCTTTGAACCAGGATATACTCTGGTCTCAGGATTGCTGCACACCTGCAGCAGAGGTGAGGAACGCCTGTGCATTCCCCAGGATCGCAAGCTGAGGACACTTCTGATGTCAGAGGGTCATGATGCTCGTGGTCACTTTGGGGCCCTCAAATCTTATGCAGCCCTGTCGCAACGCTTCTTCTGGAAGGAGATGAGGAGTGACATGCTGCACTATGTGGATACCTGTGAGTTATGCCAAAGGAACAAGGTTGTACGTCGACCCCTTCTTAGCCTACTCAAACCCCTACCTATCCCTGATGCTCCTGCACAGTCAGTATCGATTGACTTTACTGACTTGGGTAGGACTACACCACGAGGTATGCGTCAGGTCATGGTATGTGTGGATCGGTTTTCCAAATATGCAGAGTTCATCCCCTTACCAGTTGAGGCTCGTGTACCAACCGTTCAGGTGGCTTTTGCTAACAGGTGGGTCGCACATCATGGGCCACCCACCTCTATTGTCAGTGACAGAGATCCCCGGTTTTGCAGCAATGAATGGCAATCCTACTGCAGGGATTACCTTCATTCTAGATTGGATATGACATCTGGTCGTCATCCTGAAGCCAATGGTCAGGCTGAAGTGATGAACCAGATTCTGTTCCAATTGCTGCGTCCTGATCATTCCAGATCAGCAGGACTGGGATCTCCATCAGAGTCGTGCACAACTTGTGTATAACACGTCTGTACACTCCTCTACCGGTTTCACACCCTACCGGTTGCACTGGGGCCGTGAACCACGGCAGCCTCTCGATGACATCATCGACAAGGCTACCCCTACGCTGACACCTGGAACTGCAGAGTTCACCAGGCGTTACCGTGTGGACATAGAGCGCGCCCGTGCTAACCTGTTGAAAGCCCAAAAGGTTATGATTCAACAGGCTAATAAGCACAAGCGTCCTTCTACCATTCGCACAGGTGACTGGGTGTGGGTACTTAGTTCTGAGCTGTCACGAGAGGAGGACATTTCGCCTAAGCTGTTACCACGATATATGGGTCCATGGCAGGTCTTAGATACAGTGGGAGCTGATCCATTTGGACCGTCCTACAATGTGGACGTCCCTCTGCATCTACAAACCTACCCTGTCTTTCATGCATCTAAGCTGTTGCCATTTACGCCAGCTGATGCATTCCCAGACAGGCCTCCTCAGTTCGGTCCCCCTATCCCTGGTAAGGGGTATGAGGTCGAAAATGTGGAGGATGAGTCAGGTACAGGTCCAGATAAGGAGTACCTTGTGAAGTTTTTGTACCAGCCACATACTGAAGACCACTGGTTTACTCGCAAAGAACTCCTGAAGACAGCCAAGTCTGTCATCCTCAAATATGAGGCAGCAGAGAAGGGGGAACCCGTTCGGCGCTCTGCACGCCTACGCCCCTAGCTTGGAGGTCCTCGCGCCGGGGGAGGGCAGGTCTGCAATGACTTGCTGTTTTCTGGTTACCTGTAGCCTCTCTCTGTCGTGGCTGTACTTTAGGTAGGACAGATTCGTAATTTTGTTTGGCTGAGGGCTAACCGAGAGATCTACCTGTGTGGGAAATTCGTGAGGGACATATCTGCAAATCCAGGAAAATACAGGCCCGGTACTAACAGGTTTCCCTACAGCTACCTAACTGCGCATAGTAGGCCCGGGCTACCATAGGACAGACAGGCCCTAAGGGCCTATTCTGATAGACGGTCCTATAGCCTATAGCCGGGTCCGGTAGAGGCCGAGAGGCCGAAACAGCAACGGTACCGGTCGGTCAGTCAGTCCGGTCTAGGTCGGTGTAGGCTAGAAGTAGGATGGGCACATCGGTTCAGGGCTTTTGGGCAGTTGGTACCATGGACATCGCTGCTGCGCTACGCGTGAACCGGAAGTGGTGACGGCTCAGCGTGGGAGGAGACGGGCATAGCCAGACCTTCGGAGTGCAGGCCATAGCTGGGACCTGCGCTGTACTCTGCCAGCACGTAGGGGCTGACAGAGGTCTGGGTTATCGAGGTCTGCTGGAGGTGAGAGAGATTGGTGCCCTGCTGGACCCTCCTCCGGAGTGGGGTCCTAGAGGGTTTGCGCTGCAGCAATAGCTGCGGCTTCTTCATCTCAGAGGTCATCTTGTCAGGGTTTGGTGGCGCTGCTGCAGACTTCCATCCGGGAAGTCTCCCCACACTTCGTCATCATCAGATACTGTGGCGCTGGTCTTCTTCTTCATCCTCTGAGTGGCGCTTGGCCTCGGAGGCCTGTTTCAGGGTGGCGCTGCCCCCAGGAGGCTGTATCTGGGTGGCGCTTGATGATTCAGGGGCTCAGGGGGTGTTACGGGTGTTACTCAGGGTTGGGGAAGGAAGCGCTGCTCATATCTGAGCAGCGCACTGTAGTACTGAAGTTATCTTGACAATTTGAGACTCTGAGTTTAATAAACAGTGTGATACTGTGTCTGGACTATCATCGTTTCATTGTTTCCTGGATGTGATCTGCTCGGCTTTTCTCTATGACTGGTTGTGAGGATTGAGTGGAGTGAATTGCACTTTCAGTGTACCCTGTCATATCGCATGGTCAAGTCTTCCGCTGTGTTTATCTCTCCCTGTGCGGTGTGATACTCCTATCCTCTCCCCTTCCTTCTGTGTATGTATGGGCATGTGCAGAAGTCTATGTGAGTGAGTGTTGGCCTTCAGGCAACGAACAACCAGAATCATAACAGACTGGTACCGGCCTAGACCTAGCCTACCGCTACTGGGTCTCTAAAAATTTCAACTTTGTCTTCTTCGTCTCAGCCTCGAGTACCCGGCACATCTACTTCTACTGGGTGCGGTACCGGCCTACCTGCTACTTGAGTGTTTTTCTGCTGCTCTAAGTGCCGCGGGCCTCTGGCTCTGCTACTTGAGTATTTTCCCTGCCGCAACCCTCAATATCACGGCCACAGGTAAGTACCGGCCCTACGGGCCTCCCAAACAAGCAAGTGCCCTTGCGGGTCACACACACACTCATGCCGACAAGCACTCAGACAGGCACGCAGGCCAACAAGCACGCACACATATAGACTTAGAAAACTCAGCGGAATGCGGGAATCTCAGCAAGGCATCCATTCCATCGGCAGAACTTCAGAAATCAGCAGTGTTCTCAGTCTGTGTTATGGCGGGTCATTACAATATGTATGTGGAGTCATCGGGGGATTGGAAGAATGTGAATGTCAGTTGAGTGAGTGATGACAGGGTGTATTGTTTTGTGGCCCTGTTGTTTGTGTTGCTGTTTATATTTTGTGCTATGCTGCGGCGTTAGAGATTATTGTATTCAAATGAAGACCGATATTTTATTATTTTGTGTTGGGGCCTGCTCTGTGCTGTAGAATTATTCACTGATGGCATCTTTAGAATTATATACGACGGTGATGGAATTGGTAGCATGTGTCTGCCGGTAAGAACATAGTTTGAGGAGCCTCAGGTAATTTGGTAGATTGGTTAGTATTAAAAGGTGTTGCAATAGAATGGTTAAAACACCACTACCTCCGTGGCTGTTTTCTGCCGACCCTGGATCTCACTGCGCACCGAGTTTTGTCGAGCCTGGGTCCCATTGTATTTTCTTTTATGGTACTCCTCGCAAATGAAAAAAAAAAAAGAAGAACAAAAAAATTGAAAAAATAACAAATATGTCCTTCGGGACATCCGTTAAAATTGGAACGATACAGAGAAGATTAGCATGGCCCCTGCGCAAGGATGACACGCATAAATCGAGAAAT